AGTGCTGATGGTCTGTCTAATAACTCAGGGGATGGGGAGGAGGGGTATGGCGCTCACGGACTCCAGTTTAATTCTCATGTTGACTGAGACGTCTCTTCCAGGGTTTGCCTGTAAGGAGGCGGCAAGTATCATTTCATCACAAATGCTTGATAACTAGAGAACCATAGGTTAAAGTGTGTGTTTGAACTGAGGCTTGAGCCTTCAGAATTAAGAGCAAGACATCTATCCGCCTTACCACCCGTGGCTACGGAGCACAGAAACCCAAAATGCCAGGCAGAAGAAAGGCATAAAACAGGGGATGTAAAGTACAACATAAAGAATATAGTCAATAATGTTGCAACAACTATGTGTAGTGCCAGGTGGGTACTAGACTAATCAGTGGGATCACTGCATAAATTATACAAATGTCTAACCACTATGTTGTATACCTGAGGATTATTTAGAAAACTAAAAACAAACAAACAAAAGGCATAAAACAGAGGGTTGAAACAGGTCAGTCACAAAAGTACAGATAGTGTAGGATCCCACTCATGTGCGGTGCCTGGAAGGCTCAAATTCATAGAAACAGAAAGTAGAATTGGTGGTTGGCAGGAGGGGAACGGGGAGCTGTTATTTCATGGGGACAGAGCTTCAGTTTGGGAAGATGAAAAAGTTCCAGAGATGGATGGTGGTAATGGTTGCACAATGTGAATGTACTTAATGACACTGAACTATACACTTCAAATAGTTAAAATGGTACATTTCACCACAATTAAAGAAAAAAAGGAATATCCTCCCTCCAAAAAACCTCTAACAGTGTAAGTCAATATGCCAGGTGTAGGCAGGGGCACAGGGGACCCATCTCTTTGGGTCAGCTCCCTGCCTCGCCCAGTGGCGAGAGAGCAGAGAGGCAGTGAGGGCAGAGAGCAGCCCTCCGCCTCGGGCTGCTGAGGTCTCCCAGAATGGCACAGATACCAGTGGGCATGGGGGTGCTGGGAGGGTGCCCAGAGCTCTGTTGGGTGGAGGGCGTCTGTACAAGAGGGCGTGTGGGAGGCCATGGCAGGACGTTGGGCCCTGGGCTGCTGTGACTACGGCCTCACCCTGGGCAGGGTGGCTGATCACACTGAGAGGACCCAGCAACCCTGTTGGGTTTTGTCCTTCCACTCAGTGCCCTGGAATGTCTGTACGGCATGTATGGTGTCCCTGAGGCCAAGGATGTGGAGGGCTGAGGAGAGTGATTACTCGCAAAAATACACAGCTGGATTTCCCTGGGGGCCTTTCTATCCTGGGCTCGACAGGACGGGATCTGTCTCAGGGATGGTGACAGGCGGGAGGGAGCGGCCACGGCACAGCGGGCAGGTATTAACTGGAAAGTCATGTCCTTAGAGAACTCGAGGGGCCGACTGGAGGTACAGGGACGCGCAGCCCGGGGGTGCTCTGGGAGTGCCAGGAGGGGCTGAGGGCTGGGGTATGGGATGGGTGTAGAGCAGTGTGGGGCAGGGCCAGGAGTGGTGGTGAAGGTCGCATGTGTCTTCATGCAGGGGGGCAGGAGCAGATATGGATGTCTCCCTCCTGCCTCTCCCCTCCCCACCTGTCCCATCCCAGGCTGTTGGGTGGGAGCTTGTGTTGGACGGCAGGGGACCCTGCACCCAGCTGAGGGTCCTGAAGCCCCACTGGGCTGTGACAGAGGATGTGAGGGACCCTCAGGGCCCAGGGTCAGGGACTGGGTGGGTGTGGGCCAGAGCTGGGATGGCCAGGAGAGCCAGTGTGAGCCGCAGGTTTGGGGTGCGGGTGGGCAGGCCAGACCAGGGGATAACTGAGAGTCAGGCTGCTGCTTCCTTCACATGACACCCCACCCAGTCCCTGGGAACCTCTCAGTGCAGTGGTCTTAGTGGTCCGTCTCCATGTGGGACCTTAGGGACAGGGGAAAGGGCTCCTGCACCATAGCCAGCGCAGTGCAGAGAGGCTGGACAAAAGTGGGGAGCCTGGGCTCCTCAGGTTATTGGTGGCCCTCTAGGATCTAAGGTGTGTCCACAGGCCCAGTAGGCACAGGCGAGGCCCCATTGACTGGGTGGCTGGATGAACAACAGAGGTTGCCTGGAGTCACAGAGCAGAGCCTGAGGGGCTGCCCTTAGGTCTGTGGCCCAGGGCCCAGTGTGCTCAGCAGCACTTAGGGACCTCAGACCCTTGGCACTACTGGGCACGGACTCACTCCTGCTCAAGCCAGGCTCATCTACAGACACTACCCCTGCTGGGCCCATGGGTCCTTGGCCAGCACATGCCCATGGTGCAAGGGGGTAGCCCATAGCACTGGACATGACACCTCCTGCATCCAAGTTGTGGGCGCCTTGCTGTTCCAGGTGGAAAGACTTGTCTAACATCCCCGGGGCCTGAGATTAGATCTCAATCCCTGGCTCAGATTCCAAATCTTGGGCTCATGGGCTCACTGTTTCTGCAGAGACACCCCTCTGGTTCAGGGAAGGCCCAAGCCCTAGCCCACCACCAGGCCTGACTTCCCCAGGCCCCAGCTGGCCAATATTTCTCGTCTGGCCTTTCTGCCACCAACCCAGCTCTGTGTGTGTGTGTGTGTGTGTGTGTGTGTGTGTGTGCGCGCGTGTGTGTACACATGTGTATGCATTTGTGTGCATGTGTATATACATGTGTGTTCATGCATGTGAGTGTGTGTGTGTAGAAATCTGAACCACATGGCTGCCCTGAGAACCAGACCCTAGGGCTCTGCCCTGTGTCCTCATGTCATTATCATTATATATTTGTAGCATCATGGGAACAGATTCCTGAATGGGCAGAAGCCAAAGCACTTATGCCCAGCTGGGGCTGTGCGGGCATGGAGGCCAGGCAGGGGCCATCTCATTCAGTACCCCCAAGTCCAAGCTCAGGACGTCAGGAACAAACAGAGGTAGCCAGACTTTGGGAGGAAGTTGAGTTATGGATTCTGTCTTAGGAAAGGACAGACACCTCCTGCGTCTGAGGGAGGGCACTCCTGGCATAGGGCCCCTGCCTTGAAGGACAGCAACTGTGCCCACCAGTGAAACAGGTCCTGGACCCCCAGATGAGCTGCTAGCCTGCCAGGGACAGTGACACAAGAATGGGCAGAGGCTAGAAGTCTAGAAAACGTAGAGGGATGCAGTCTCCTTCCCCACATGAAGTTTATGCCCAGCTTAATGAGGGGAAACTGAGGCTCTGGAGTTGTAGGCCTTGTTCAAGGAGCCAGGAGTTATTGTGGGACCTTAGTGGGGACCCCCACCTCTAATAGCCCCCAATGAAGGCCAGAAACCCTGGTGAGGTTCGTCACTGATGGCAGGCTCCCTTCCCCATGAAGACGAGGGTGGCTGTAGGTGGGTTTAATGACAGGGAATTCAGAAATTGCACACATATGACTCCAGTATGGTACCAGAGCTGAGCTCAGGAGAAGCAAATACCAGGGGGAAACTGAGGCTGGGAAGACAATGTGGCCCCAGGTAG